GCTCTGGATCAACATGGCTGTGCTACAATGAGTTTTGTTACTTTGGACAAGTCACTTCCCTTCCTTTGAATCTCCTGCAAAATGAGAGAAATCATTGGAGGGACAACATAGGGCACAATGTAATGATGAGGATGAGGATAATAACATGTATTTATGAAGAGTTTTAAGGTTTGCAAAACACTTTATATGTTTTCTCATCTGATCCCGCTAGATCCCCACTCCTGACATTTGCTCCGAGTCTCAATTCTTTGGACCTTCTCTGCCACAAGCCCACAAGGACACCTTCTTCCTAATCCTCCCTGTCCTTCACTTCTTTCTTCTCAGCTTCCGGTTATGTGTCATCTTCCTCCATCAGCATGTAAACTCCTTGAGGGCAACTGTCTTTCTTTTTGCTTATATTGGTATCCCTGGAATGTAACACAGGGACCAGAACATAATAAGTGCTGAATAAATGCCTGCTTTTGACTCTTTAACCACCCCGGGAGGTAGATGGCCAGGATCACAGTTAGTGAGTGCTCTAAGGCAGGATTAAAACTCAGGTTTTCCTGACTATGAGTCCAGTGCCATCTCCACTGTGCCATCGAGCTGCTGGTATGTGTTGTCAGATGCACTCACTGTACTGGACGTTTTTTTTTCTTGAACTGTTTATTACTTTGTCACAAAGAAGGATTAAATTGGAGGGTGGGAGGGAGATAGTTTCCAGAAATTACTCTGATAAAAGACAAAATGTATCAATAAAACAAAAAAAAACACAACACAATGTGGGCAGTAGACTAGATTATCTCTATGGCCTCTCCTATTCAAAGTTCGTGAATTCTAAACGTCCTTGCTTTTTCATCAGAACATATCCCTATGGAGCAAAGTCCTTTGTAGTCTCCCAAGAATGGTTAATGCCTGACCCCTTATCAAAGTAGAATCACAGAGGAACTTTAAAGACCACTGAGTCCAATGCCTTCATTTTGCAGAGGAGGAAACTAAGGGCCAGAGAATGAGAAATGTCTTGGCTAAAGGACACAGGGTAAGTTAGTAGCAGAGCTGAGGTTCCAATGCAGTTTTCCTGACTCTAAGCTCGATGTTCTTTCCACAGCAACACACCACATCCCTTTTTTGGAGTGAGAAACAAGTGTGTTCTTGATTCCTGAAATCACTTGTGCAGTCTTGGTTTCAATAATGTCTACTGTCATCTTGCTGGAAGAGTGAGAAATAAAGGACTGATCCTCTTCTCTCACTCCTTTCACATTTCCTTAATTAGTAATCTTACATGAAAAACATGTTTGGTATATTTGTACACTTTCCATGAACATTTTTTTTTTGCCTCATCGTAGCATGAGGGATCCCAAAGATAATGGCAGAGAGCACGAGCCCTGAGATAGATGACCAAGATAGTAAGAGGAAATCACTTCTTCTCCCCATCAGTAAAATGAAGTCTTTGGACTAGATATTCTTTAAGACCCCTTGTAATTTCAAGCTTCTATGGTTTTATGAAATCGTCCTTGGTTTTTTTTTTTTATTGGGAGCTATCCAAAGTCCTTTGGTAGCCTCCCAAAATGGGAAAACATGCATGTGACTGTTCATATGTGTGTGTCAGTATATGTTATCTTGATTTAGGGAAGGAGGAACATGCACATGACTTCATCCATGTAGGGAGTGCTTATCTTGGAAACTCCCCCACTGATAAATCAGCAATTCACATGTTACCTCAAGCACTGAGAAGTTACAGGACTTGTCCATGGTACTAAGTGACCATACAGGAATTAAACTTAAGGGCAGCTAGGTGGTACAGTGGATAGAGCACTGGCCCTGGAGTCAGGAGAACCTGACTTCAAATATGACCTCAGATACTACTTAGCTGTGTGACCCTGGGCAAGTCACTTAACCCCAATTGCCTCCCCCTTATCCCCTCCAAAAAGGAACTGAACTCAAGTTCTCCTTATTCCAAATCTGACCCTCCATCTACTAGACCAAACTCCAATATGCATCTATGTGTGTTATGTGCATATATTTAAACTTCAAAGACCCTCACATACACACTCTCTCTTTACATGGGCTCAAGCTATATCTAATCCCCAAATTTTCTTCATTTAGTTCGTTCTAATCCCATTCCTTTCGGTACTGTTTACTTCAGCACCTTATTACCTGTTTTCATTTGGCCCAGACCAAACTACATTTTCAGGTGCTGAAAGGACCTGCAGATGAGACCATGAGGCCACTGTCAGCAATAGTTAAAAAGACTGGAGAATGAAGGAGGTACTACAGACAGAGTGAAGGGCAAATGTACTGATTTTTTAAATAGCAAAGAGAATGGGGTCTGGATGCTAGAGGCCAGTGAGTTCAACTTCAATTCCTAGGAAAAATCTAGGACATGTTACTAAAGAGTTGGTGATGAACTTTTAGGGAAAGAAGTGGTCCTCACAAGGAGCCAGCATAGCTTCATTAGGATCACTTGTGTCAGACTAAGCTCATTTCCTTTTTATGTCTTTTGATAGGATGACTAGACTAGCAGATCAGACAAAATGCTATACATAATGTTTCTTAGATTTTGGAAAAACACTTAAAGTTTCTTGAGCTATTGTAGAAATGATGAAGAGTATAGGGCTAAATAAAACCAGTCAGGTGGATTTGCAACTGGTTGAATAATTGGGCCTCAAAAATAGTTATTCATAGTTAGATGTCAATTGGAGGGAAATGTCTGGTAGAGTGCCCCAGGAGGATGGGCAATGACTTGGATAAAGGCAAAGATAACATACTCATCAAATTTGCAGAAGACACAAATCTTGCAGGGATAGCTAACATACTGAGTAACAAGATAGGATTAACAAAGATCTCAATGGGTGAGAACACTGAGACAAATTTAAGACATTTAATTATACAGTTTTACACTTGGGTTCAAAAAACAAATATCACAAATACAAAATGAAGGCTCTTTAACTATAAAGCACCTTGCCATGAAATGGCAGCCTAGAAAGCTAGTGTTATCTTGGGCTTCACTTAGGAACATGGGGTGAGAATTCTGCTGTACCCTGTCCCAGTTATATGGCATCTGAACTAGCAGGTTCAGTTCCAGACACCAAATTTTAGAAAGGGCACTGATAAACTAGAGGGTATTTAGACAAGGGCAATCAGGAAGGTGATGGGTGTCATGTTCTTAAAATATGAGAATGAGTTAAAAGAAACGAGAATGCTTAGATTAGAGAAGAGAACATTTAAAGGGAAGAAATAGTTGTCCAATATTTGAAGGCTGTCATACAGGGAAGAGGTTAGATTTTTTTTTTCCCCTTTGGCCTGAGAAGATAAAACCAGGAGTAACTGGTGGAAGTTGTGAAGGAATAAATTTAGCCTCGGTGTAAGGGAAAAACTTCCTAAAATTGTACAGTTATCTAGAAGTGGCATGAGTTCCTCAAGAAGCAGTGGATTCCCCCACATATGAGGTCATCAAGCAAAAACTGGTTAACCATAAGTCAGCTATGCAGCAAAGGATGGCCTCTTTCAACTCTAAAATTCCGTATTTCTGTGGTTTATCTTTATTTTCTCACGAGACTTCAGCAAGCTCTCTGCCCTCTGCCACGAATTTCAAACCAATACTGAGGTTCTTTGTTTGATAACCTTATTTTTATCCAACTGCTTCCCTACAAAAATACAGGGGCTATTTTAGTCCTGGCTATCTTTGAGAAAAAGATGAAGAAGCCATTTTGCTCATTTGAGTTCAATTCTGCAAAAAGCTGTTAGAACTAACTTTAGAGATGAAAGAAAACTGCAGATACTATCATCTGTAGGACATGAAATACCCATTGCTAAAGTAGCCTGTGACTGGCCAGGCAAAGAAACAATATCAATTATGACATTTTTATTACCAAGTACCACTGGTTTGCAAACTGATTTGCTTGCCAGGGCAAGTAAAGGATTTGCCTTGAAATTCTTTATGAGATGTGATCACACCTGGTAAGTTGAGAATACTCAAGTTTTATGATAATACCCACTTAAGAACTCCATAGTGTAGCAATGGATTGTTAGCATATCACAGAAACATCAAAAATTCACATTTCTATAACACTTTGAAGTTCACAAAGTGCTTTCTTCACAACTCTGTAAGGCAGGGAGTACAAATATTAAGATCACTATTTTATACATGAAGATCACAGGATACTGAAAGAGACCTTAGAAATAATACCTAGCACTTCATTTTTGCAAAGTGATTTACAAATATTTGTTTGAGCCCCTTATTTTAAAGATAAGAAAGTTGAGGTCCAGAGAGGTTCTTTGATTTGCCCCAAGTCACCCAGGGGTAAAGTGACAGAGCTAGAATTTGAATCCAAGTTCTCTGTGCCCAATCCAATACTGCTGGACCTTTGACAGAAGGTAGTAAGCAAAGGCAGTTAGTTCATCCTGATACTCCCTACAGGAATATCCAACTACTACTTACTTCTATGATAAACAATCCTGAGCAACGTGTGGGTCAGTTGGTTCACAGAAAGACAGGATTGAGACTTGAAGGGCCCAGTCTATCCTTCATTTTAGCAATGAGGAAAATGAGTCAAAAAAATGAAATTTATTCAAGATCAGACAGTAGAAGAATGAGGATCTTTTCATTCCAAATCAAGTATTCTTTCTATGACACCAAATTATGAATTGGCAACATCACCTCATTCTGATTCCACGGTATTTTGTTTACTGGCTGCTTGTGCAATGAGCAGAATGGGGATGGGGTACTCCAGTAGTGTCTCTGACTTCTGCCCGTCATCCAATCCGTAACTTAGGTGATGAGCTGAGTGATGCTTCCCTGGCATCTGAAGGAGTTCAGTTCTGATGTATTATAGTGTTAACTGTGAAATGACTCTGAAGAGGGCAATGGCATGTGGGCCGTACCTATAAGACTACCTGGCACCAACCACCCTCTAGCAAGACCATAGAATTCTGTCCTCCAAAATACTGATGGATGCGTGCAAAAGCCAAAAGTCTGACCAAAAATAGAGCAACACAAGAAAATAGTAAAGATGCCTCACCTTGGAAGGTTAGGGGCCGGCGTTGAAGCTGACGACGGGGAAGGAGTTGTGGGTTGGGGTGACTCATGATTTCTCGGGACTCTGCCCATTCGATACCAGATTCCCATATTGTTCAGTTCCCTTCAGGAGAAAAAAGAAATCTTCAGTGTTGGCAAAACACAGTTCATTTACCTGACTCACTAACAAAGCAACCTGACTCATGATGAAATAATTACAAATTCAAAGATGAGGAAACATATTAATCCCTGTGCAAGTTCAGTCAACGATTCATTCCAACATCAATATTATGTTTTAAAAAAAAAGACGACTCCACCCAGAAGTTACATATAAGAACAATTTCTGACTCCCGACATAGCACCACATGAAACACCAATTGATGACAGAATGCAAAGTGAATAAATCATACTACTGTGTTCAGGTACACAGCTTCAGACTTCAAAACCAGATGCCTACTCAATGGAAGGAAGAACTGCCTAACAACGAAAAACCTCCAAAACTAGAATGAACTACAGGTGAACTGAGTCATTAGAAGTGTTCAGACAGAAACTTGAAGACTACTTCCAACTAGGAACAGGTTAGGCTGGGGGACAACTACACTCCTTTCTAGCTCTTGGATCTAAGTCTAGGATTTTTACCCCAGTTAAAGGCTCACCAAGTGCTATAACAATTAAATACTAAACACTTAAAAGAGAAAGAGATTTATAGCGGGAAAAAAATTTTAACTTTAGAATATTTCTAAAATATTACAATTTTACTACTCCCCTAAAGTCTTCCTCCAATGCCTCACTGTGGCATGGAGGTGACAAAAAGTCTTCAAAGGCTAAGTCAGTGTGCTACCAAGCTGAAAAAGTTTTGAACGTGAGCCTAACAATGGACAGTGTATCTATCATCTATTGACTGGCCCAGTTCAGGTCAAGGAGATGCATCCTACAAGGTCTAGACACTAGACAATGAGGTTTTTGACAACTGATGAAGCATTCTACCGTGGGTGGAGAGGAGTGTGCCCTAGGTTGGTGTAAAGAGCAGCCACATCAAGTAAATCATAGGTTCTTAAAGACTTAATATGCAATTTGTACTTTCCAGTAACCACTGTTACCTAAACTGGGGTAAATTCTTTATGTAAAGTTGTTGCTTATGATTATAGCAATCACAGGATTTTCAAAGAGCTCATCTAATGTAACCTTTTTATATTATAGATGAGGAAAGTGAGGTCCAGGGAAGTTAAGCAATTTACTCAAAGTCACAGAGGTAGTTACTGGCAGAGTCAGGATTCAAAATCAGGTCTTTCATTCCAATTCCAAGCCCCTCTCCACAACAACACACAAAAAGTTGATTTTTAAAGAATATATAATATTGACACATAACTGTCATGGTCAACTGAAAGACCATGGAGGTATACTGAAACAGTCTTATCTTAAGAAGTTCCAAGTTCAAATTCCAGTTCTACTTTTTACCCATGTGGCTTGACAGTGGACAAGTCACTTAACTTCTATGGGCCTTAGTTATTTCACTGACAGAGAAAATAATTTCAGACTTCTGATGAGCAAAGAATTTTACAGACTGTCAAGTCACATATGAGTATAAACAACTGTATGCAAATTGGTGCTTTGAGGTTTCTCAAGGGTGTTCATCCTCTTGAATTATAATCTTGGAAGTTACTATCTTTTTAAAGTTGTTTTTCAGTCATACCCACCTCTTTGTAACTTCATCTGGGGTTTTCTTGGCAAAGATACTGGAGTGGTTTACCATTTCCTTCTCCAGCTCATTTTAGAGATAAGAAAATTGGGGCAAACAGGGTTAAGTGATTTACCCAGGATCACAGAGCTAGTAAGTGTCTGAGGCTGGATTTGAACTCAGGAAGATGAGTCTTCCTGACTCCAGGCCCAGCAGTATATCCACTGTACCACCTAGTGCAGCTAGTGGGCTACCCCAGGGGTGTTCTGCTATTTAACAACTGGCTCTCAAAAAAAAGCACTGGACTACTTGGGGTCAGATTTAATTTTTACCTCTGTGACTTACTATGTATGTGGCCTTGGGCAAATACATAATTTTGGGGCCTTGGTTTCTTTATCTGAAAAATGCTGAAATTGGACCTAATGATCTATAAATCCCCTTCTGGCTCTAATATTCTGTGATTCTGTAACCGAAACATTTAATATACTAAACAAAATGTCAGAGGTTGATTTGGCTAAAGGGAAGAGGAAATAGCAGAAAATTATTCAAATTTCAACAGTAAATGGATTAATGGAAAATGTGCTGTGATGTGAAGACACACTATGTAACTGTGATAAAACATTAATGATAGAAGCTCAGGTTTGTTTAGGACTTTTCAGGTTGCAGAATGTTTCCCATGCATTAACTATTTGATTTTCACAAGAAATGTTATGGGGTAGGTAATGCAAATAGGATTATACCATTTTACACATGAGAAAATTAAGGCTCCCAGAGACTTAAGGGCTTTCCTATGGTCACACAGCTAGTAAGTATGACCACGGAACTGAGAGCTGGAAGAGAACCCAGTGATCACCTAATCTAACCATCTCAGAGAGGCCAATTGACTTGACCAAAGCCATGTATATAGTCAAGAGCAGAGCTGAGATTGAAATCAAGACTTCTGATTCCAAATTCACAGTTATTTCCTCCATTCTATACCATCTCTTCACTAAATAAAAAATCTGGGATTCAAAATCCAGCTTTCTGATTCCAAGTCTAACATTCCTACTCTGCTACAACAGCATCATGATATCAAGAACATGGTGACTGAAAACATGACCACAAAGATCTCAAACACTCTATGGAGGGAAGTCACTTTGGTCAGTTTCCTGTTTTATAAACTCTACATGATTAAGGTATTCTAGTACCCAAAACAAAGGAGGCAAGAGTTTTGCTTTCCTGTGCCCTGTAGCAGCCATGTTTAGTTCTAATCACCACATTTTAGGAAGCTCATCAGCAAAGTGCAATATTGGACAAAGAAGATTGACCAGGATGGTAAGAGTTCTGGCAGCCATGTTACATATAAAGACTGGTTGAGAAAACCTGGGATGCTTAGTCAGGGACCTGATAGCAGTTTTCAAATATTTTAAGTCATAGAAAACAGGGATTAAAGTTATTCTTCTTGATCTCAAAATGAAGAACTTGAGAGCAATGAGTGGAAATTGTAGAAAGGCAAATTTTCTTTGGTATAAAGGAAACATTCGATCATAGCAATTCAAAAATGAAATGGGCTGCCTTAGAAAGAGGTACCCCATCACTAGAGGTCTTGTTGGGGATTTTCAAGGGGGTGCTTCAGGCATAGGTTGGATGTGTTACATTAAAAATTAGCATTACTGATTCAACTTTATCCACCATTTTGTGAAGTTAAGTTTCAACTCCATGTAAGACATCTGATTTAGGAGGTTTTACAAGAGTACCCTCCTCCCCACTATCAACTGACTTAAAGAACATCACAATACCCCTCTCCCTCTAACCTCAGTGTCTCCTGACCCTCTTCTACCAATGAAAAACCAGATATCTCAATCCCTATAATCCTATGTTTCCTGTTTTTCACTCTCCAAATAGTATGTTAACTGTGAGAAGCCAAACTTCTGGGTCCTTGGCTACTGAGAGCCTGTCCGGTTTGTTTTATAACACCACATGCATTGCTAAATAAACCGTTTGTCTGGATGAAACTCAATTTCTTTCTTTCCTTTTCTTTTTTCCTACTATAACAGACAAGAATGACCTTTGGGATTCTTTTCCAACTCTAAGGTTCTATGGCTTAGTATACTGAATTTCTGAAAAATGATAGATTATACTTAGGCCCCTTTTAAAGTGTCAGAGACTTACCCTATAAAGGTGTATTGAGGAGGTGCCTGTTTTGTACGGCCCATGATTCTGATGTCACAGATTGCTGCCTCAGTTGAATCCCGAGGGATAAATTTAATACAAAGCCTCTTCTTTCTGAAAGCAACTTCCTCTGAAAAAGGGACAAAGAAGTGGGTATTAGTCTTCAAAGGTTAGCAAAGTCTGAAATCTGTCATCTTGTTTGTATACTACATTGAATTAGCAACAGCCAAAATCAACCACCCAGAAGGGTCAGTCAAAGGTATGAACAATATGCACTACCACCTCTCCTGGTGTAGGCAGAAAGGGAAATTCATCACTACAGCAGACTGGTCAAAAAAAGATTTCAGACCAAACACATAGGCACATTACAGAATCACACAATTTAGGGGTCGAAGGGAGCTTTGAAATTGTCTAGCCCAATTTCCTTATCTTATAGATACAGAAATAGACCAGAGAAGTGATTTGATGGACACAGGTAAATAAGAAATAGTTCTGGGAGAGAAGTTCAAGTCTTCTGACTCTAAATCCAGAGTTATTACCTCTGGATTCTTCAGCTCTAAAATAAAGTTGAGCATCCGAATTTTAAGCTTAGGTCCAGGAGCCCCAGAATCATAGAATTTAAGGCCCCAGCATGAATTGAGTGCAACCCCTTCAGTTTTACAGAGGATAAAATCTGTGCCAGAGAGGTTAAGCAATTTCTCTGAAGTCAGGCAAGTACTAAGAAGCAGAGACAGGATGTGAACCAAAGTCGTCCAGCATTACTTGGTTTTGCTATGCCAGCAGCCAAAGACACACACTCAACGGACAGACTTCATGAGGGGTAACTATAAATCAAGGAACCCAATTCAACCAACCACCCTTCAAAATAAGTCATCACCATAAAATCACCTAGGTAGAAACCATAACAAAGAAAGGTCCCAAGGGTCTGACGGCCATACCAGAGTGTGAGCCCTGGCAGAATGCTTCAAGCTGGGAGAGCTTTGAGGTTAATTTCTGTTGACAAAGGACCAGCCTAGCTAAGTCAGGAGAGCCACAATGCCCAAAGAATGGCCATGAGCTGATGAGTTCTGTTGTTGTTCACAGCAACTCACTAAGACTGTCTAGTAAGACATGGAGGGGTTGCAATATGAGCTGGTACAGGGAATTGGAATCATAGAATTTCAGAGGTGGAAGAGATAAGAAAGGTCATCTAGTCAAATTCATACCTGAACAAAATCTCCACATGACAGATAATCATCCAGACTTTGCTTGAAGACTCCCAGTGAGAAACAATATTTGACTCTGGGACAGCTCTTGGCAAGTTCCAACCATTGTTTTAGTTTTGCTCTCTGGGGCCAAACAGTATAAGCCTAATAATTCCTCTTCCACAAGACGGCTTTCAACTGTACCCCAAGTCTTCTCTTCTAACCTCACATTCTCCAACCTTACATTCTCCTTTCTTTTCCTAAACTCTAAGAAGGAGTGATCACTTTCCCCTAATGTTCCTATAATTTCCTCCGCATCAACTACTTCTATCTTGATGACAAGAACTCAGATTAAGAATAGAATTTCTCCTTGTTTCTTTCTCTCCTTTTTGAAGGATGAAATTATAATTGAATAAAGACAAGAATTTAATAAACTCTTCTTCTAGTAGAAAGTTCCAACATATGCCCAGATAATTAAAGTCCCCCATGATTACTATATCACATTGTGATATCAGGTTTGAGATCTGATTCCTGAGAGCCTCATTTAAGCACTCTTTCTGTCTAGGAGGTCTACAATATAGTCCAATTACAATAATGCTTCTGTCTCTGCCTCCATTGATCTCTTCTCAATTGGACTCTATCATACTTGACTTCTTTGGTTCCTAGATTTCCTTGCATGGGGAGGTCTTAACAATATAATGATACCCCATCTCTCTTTTATTTATCCTGTTTCTTTTGAATAAGGTATATCTGCCAGAGAAATACTATAGGTCTGATCATACCAAGCATCAGTGATACCTATGAGCTTAAATGTTCCTTCTTATTTTAGGATCTCTAGTTCATTTAAGTGAGGCAGGGCTGTGCAAAGTCACCAGCCTTTCTCCTCTGGAGCCATCTGGGTCCAGTGGCAAAATACAGATCAGGATGACTGGAGATGCCCCCCTTTACCCCCGCACAGAACCTTAGTGACTAAGTATATGTAGTTTTGTCCCCATTAGCATTTCCTTCTCTTTTTAGTTTAAAGTCTTTTAAAATTAAATTTGCTAAACTCTAAGCAAATATATATAGTGGTAGGATCTCTACCACTGTGTGCATTTGTCTATACAGGTGATGGATGCCGTTACTTGGACTTTTTGCCTGTGAACTTCTGGGTATTTCAATTACGATTCTCTTTCCAACATCATGGGTGTCTATGGCAGTAGCTTCTTGTCATTGTCTGTCCTTTGCTCTCGAAGAGAACCAACAACATTGGGAAGGTGATGCCATGACTTGCAAGTGAACAGGATTTAAGTGAGGCAGGGCTGTGCAAAGTCACCAGCCTCACTCTCTCCTCTGGAGCATCTGGGTCCAGTGGCAAGATATAGATCAGGACGACTGAGATGGCCCCCCACAGAACCTTAGTGGCTAAATATACATTGTTTTGTCCCCGTCAGCACCTCCTTCTGTTTTTAGTTTGAAGTTTTGGGGTTTTTTTTTATTAAATTCGCTAAACTCTAAGCAAATATATTCTTAATAGCCCTTGTGAGGGGGACTCCATTCCTGTCCATGAACTTGTCATTCCTACACTTTAAATAAAAACCTGCATTTTAAGGAATTCTTATATTTTAAAGTTCATATCCACAGAGCAAAGTATTGAAAACAAGGTGGCCCTGGGATCACACAGCAGTGATTAGAACTACATTTTAAAGTGAGAAGTGGCCTTAATGATTGTTTCATCCAACCCCACAATTTTAGAGACGAGTAAACTAAGGCCCACAGTAGACACAATGGCTAATATCACAGAAATTTAGACTTGAAAGGTATCTTAGTGGCCTTGTAATCCAACGTGTACTACAGCATAAATTCTCTCCACAAAATCCTCCCAATTTGTTATACAGCCTCTATATGAAAATCCCTATTACTTAGTAATTCACTATCCTCTGAAAGCTACTTTGGGTAGCTCTAATCGTTAGGAAGTTTTTCCTCAAATGAACTGCCAACCACTGTTTCTGGTTCTGCCCTCTAGGACCAAGCAGAATAAATTTCTTCCATCGGAGAGCTCTTCAACTACATGAAGACAATCAGTCAACAAGCATTTCTTAAGAGCCTGCTTGGTGCTAGGCACTGTGTTAAACACTGGAGATATAAAGCAAATTTCAAAAACAGTCCTTGTTATCAAGGAGCTCCAAGTGTAACGGGAGAAACAACAAGCAAACGACTCTGCAAAAACAAGACACAGCATATAAAGGAGAGGCTGGAGAGGACTAATAGAGAGGAGATGCTGGCAGGCTCTCAGCCAGCAAGCACTTATCCAGTGTCTGCTATGTGCCGGGCACTATGCCAGGCAATGAAAATACAAAGAAAGGCAAAAGGCAGTCCCTGCTCTCAAGGAGCACCCCATCTAATGGAATATTTGAGGGGGGCCGGGGAAGGCTTTTTGGAGAAGATGGGATTTTTGCTGGGGCTTGCAGAAAGCCACAGAAGCCAAGAGGTGGAGATGCTCCTCCAAGTGGTCTCTTCTCCAAACTAAACTTTTCCAATTCCTTCAACAGATCCCCACATAACACAGACTCCAGCTGTCCATCATGTTCTCACTGGTCACTATCCTCTGGAAGTACTTCCATTTGTCAGTATCCTATCTAAAATGTGATGTTCATTAAAGAGCACAATACTCCAGACACAACTGGACCAGGGCAGAGTACAGAAGGACTATAACCTCCCTTGTGATGGCACTGTTTCTACCAATGCAGGCTGAGACCACACATTGGTGATAGTTTTTGTTTTAATATCTAAGACAGTAATAGTTCCTGGTGTTTTGTTTTGTTTTGTTTTTAAAGTATGGATCTCCCTATCACACTCAAGCTGGAAAATGCAGGGGCTACTCAGGGCCTGATCCACTACTGATCAGCACAGGGGTTTTGACTTGCTATTTCTGATCTTGGCCAGTTCACCCTTCCTTAGGCAACCTAGTGCCCTGCCCCCCACTCCAGGGGGCTCATCATATTGATGTGGACTTAGTGGGGAAACTGAGTTAGCTAGCCCGCTATAGTTTAGAACTCCCAAGCTCAAGAGATCCCCCAGCCTCAGGTTCCCAGGTAGCTAGAAGTACAGGTAGGTGCCACCAGATCCCTAGTTTCTGTTCTTAATCCAAAGCTCAAGAGGAATTCTAGATATTGACATGAAAGAGTCCAGCCAAGCCATGCTCTTTCTATAACTACCTCAAGAACAATAACAAGGTGTAGCCAAATGAAACAAAAGGTGAACAAATCAAAGAAATAATGAGAACCCACAGTAAGATGATCTCCATCAGGGTTGTGACAAGACAAGAAAGACCACAGTAAGGGCAGCTAGGTGGTATGGTGGATAGAGTACCTGCTCTGGAGTCAGGAGTGCAAAACAGTTTCAGACATATAACACTCACTAGCTGTGTGACTCTGGGAAAGTCACTTAACTCTACTTGCCTCACCAAAAAATTTTTTTTAAAAATATAGCTAAAAAAAAAAAGAAAAAGACCACATTATAAGTTCCAGATGACATCCAGGCCCACTCAGAGTCACTGAAGAGGGGTAAGCGCCTAGAGGCATGTCCTATGTTTGCCATGATTGCCTAGTTTAGCACCTATCCATCCAAGACTGTATCTCTCGGTGGCTGATTGTCTAGCTCTGTGTCCCTCCCCTGCACAACTGTATTGCATGGTAGCCACAAATGCCTGGTATGTCATCAATTCAGTCCTGAAAGAAAAGGTCCCAGAACCTACTAGGGATTTGCCACTGGACTTCTTCCAGGCCTATGACTTAGAGTTCCGCATGCCTGCTAGTAGCCTATTCCTCCCACACCAGAACCTAGGTTAAGGGATTAATCAGCATGATGGTAACTCCAGCAAATGCTAGGCCAAAAGAAGTTTTGAAGAAGTAGCAAGAGATTAAAGTCAGGAGAAGAAAGGACCTCCACTAGTCATTCTAGACTA